TCTGGCCGCCCCACTTCCGGCCCTCATTCAGCCAGGAGGAGGCAGGAGAAGAGGGAGGGTAAGTTGCTTCCTCCCCGCCTCTCCCCACCCCTGCCTGCCTGGAGCCGGGAAGGGCCTTGGCGGGGCTTCCTCGCACTCCCGCCGGCCTTGCAGGTCCACCGCCAGGCCCCTGATGTCAGGGTGTGTGGCATATGCTAATGAGTTATGCTAATGAGTTCCCCTAGCTCTTTTTCTACGAAACGACCCCTGCCTTTCTCCCTGAGGCCCACCTGCCACCTAACCTAATCTCTTTTAGCTGTCAGGCCATTTCTTTTTACTAAGGCTTTTTACTTAGATTCTTGGGAGCCAGTTTGGTGTTAGTGGTTAAGTGCGCAAACTGTAATCTGGGAGAACCGGGTTTGATTCCCTACTACTCCACTTGCAGCTGCTGGATGACCTTGGGCAAGCCATAGTTCTGACAAGAGCTGTTCTTGAAAAAAGAGCAGTTTCTGTCAGAGCTCTCCCAGCCCCACCTACCTCACAGGTTGTCTGTTGTGGGGAGGGGAAGGGAAAGGAGATTGTAAGCCGCTCTGAGTGAAGGGCGGGGTATAAATCCAAGCTCTTTCTCCTCCTCCTCCTCCTCCTCCTCTTCTTCTTCTTCTTCAACTGTGTTTACAGTCTGTTTCTCACCTGAGATCTGTTTTACAAGTACCATTTTAGTATACTAAACATTTGGTGCTGTTTTTACACTCTGAGTTTTTAATTGCTGGGGTTTTTTTACTGCTTTTTAATGACTTGGTTATGATTAGAACACATGAAGATATGACTCTGCCTTGTACTGAATGAAGCCTTTGGTCCAGCAAGGTCAGTATTGTCTACTCAGACTGGCAGCCGCTCTCCAGGGTCTCAGGTAGAAGCCTTCCACATCAGCCACCACCTGATCCTTTTAACTGGAGATGCTGCCTGTTGAACCTAGGGCCCCCTGCACACCAAGCAGTGCTCTGCCATTGAACCACAGCCCCTCCCATGACTCAAGCAGGTCTTTGGAGAGGTGCCAGATCAATTTACTAACTTAAGAAAAGGGGCTGTTTTATTCAGCCACTATCTACACTGACTGGCAGTGGCTGTCTCAGACAGAAGCCTTCCCTAGTCTTTTAACCAAACCTTTTTGAACTGGAGTTGCTGGGGCCTGTACCTGCGACCTAAGGTATACAAAGCCTGTGCCGTACCACTGAGCTTGTCTTCAGCTCTCTTACTAACTTAAGAAAAGGGGCTGTTTTATTCAGCCACTATCTACACTGACTGGCAGTGGCTGTCTCAGACAGAAGCCTTCCCTAGACTTTTAACCAAACCTTTTTGAACTAGAGTTGCTGGGGATTGTACCTGCAACCTAAGGTATACAAAACCTGTGCCATACCACTGAGCTTGTCTTCAGCTCTCTCCCTGTTACAGTGAATGCATGTACATCCTGCATAGAGGTGCATACCTCTGCTCGTAAGAAAGAGCCATTTGCAACTGCAATGGGGGACCAGTACCTGGGTAGGGCTCGTAGCACACATTCAGTCGTACATGTGTTGAGTGTAACATGAGAATCACTCAACATGTATTTAAAAAAATAGTGTACATTGTACACGGATTGTATGTGTGTTCACGGTAACTTGTGAAACAGGGCTTGTCTTCAGCAGAGGAGAAAGAGAGGGAGGGGAAAGAGAGAGAGAGGGGGACCGAGAGAGATCATTTCACCTTCTTGTAATACATGTTTCAATAATTACTCAAGGAGAATATAGAACTCCCAAGTTGGTGACTATGTCCAAAGCAGATGTTCAAAGCGATGGGTATGTATTGGGTCAGTGCCAAGAAGATAAGCAGGATTATGGATGCCACGTGAGAGAAGATTTAGGCATATGAATGGGAGATTTGTACAGTTCCAGCAAATGAGCATGCATTTGCCGTGCACGGGACAAACGGCACGGGGCTGTCAGCCTTCTGTTAAGCAATGTTGTGTTCTGCAAGACTTAGGGGACCCAGGCTCAGCACTGGGGTCCCTTTACAGGGGCCGACCTCGATCCTCAAACATGTGAAGTAACAATCAAGGGCCAAATTAGTCATGAGTCCCGGAGATCCATCCAAGTATTTTTCTAATTGGTTAAAAAAAGAGAGGAAAATTTAATCCATCACAGCTGCTGATCAGGACTAGAGCCCTGGCATCAGGGAGGGGGATTTTATTCACCCTTTTCTGACTTTGTCCCCCCTTCCCCTGGGAGCTGCCAGTTGCTCTGCTGAGGGGAGTATACAGGTTGCCTGCAGATAATAAGGCTC